CCATATGTTTTTCAGCTTTGTTAAATAAAATTGTTCAGTTGTTTAAATAAAGTCATCTGATTGAGCAATAATAATGATTAATTTTAATAGGTGAAGTCAAATTACAAAAATTCAATTTATAAACATAAAACATGATTTATTCTGTACATTATGTAAATAAATTCCATATATATATATATATACCGTATAATTTAAACCGCAAAAGTTATATTTACTATATAAAATGTATGCCAAAGTTTACTATACTCATATAACATGATATACTAGACTGGTTTACTATATATTCATATTAGACATAATATCATTCATTAAATCTACGAATGCTTCACCTTTGTTAACTCTGTAGTAATTATGATAGTCATTCATATCCAACTAGGTACGTAGTAACAACATGCGTACGTTGTAACGATCGAAATTACATAATCTACGTGTTTGCATGTAAGTATATAGTTTTTATCGCATTTACATGCATAACGGAGGCTTGCAGTGTTTAGTGAGAGCTCACCACATTGCGAACTGCACACTGTACTCGGCGTGACAAATAATATTTATGATTTTTTAAAGTGCAATTTATGTATGCATGTGATGCATAATATACGTGATTTTAAATTATGGTGAGTTTTTACCTTTATAAATAGGTAGGTACTTCGCAATTCTGTTATTATATATTCTCATGTATAATTTTTTTTGTTTTTTTAAAAAACTTTAATAAACATTTTAGCCTTTGGCAAATTAATTGCTTTATCAAAAGAGAAATGGCTGTAAATAATTTGCAATTAAAAACCAAATATAAATCTAGAAAAATTAATTAGAATATAAATTCTTCCAAAGGATATAATGCACCCAATACAGCAATTATTTATATTTTATTCAAACTGTAAATCCAAAAATTATACCTTTCGTTCCTGGTTTTGCGTGACAAATGGCAAAAAGCTATCTTGTGTCTAATTTTTTTAATGAGTAGTATTTAATAACAAACATCAATAATATATAGCTATAACGTTAGATTTCTATTATTTTACAAAATCCACAATTCAGTCCTTTCAATGCATGAATATAACAAACAGGCGTATTTAATTAATTAAAAAAGCATAAATGACTTATACTTATAATAAAAACTACACATAAAATTTTCATTGTTCCAAATAATAAACAGTATATTTAAACAGAGTTGTACGATTATGATAAAAAATTATGCCATTTTTCAGGAAACCTCACAAATTTATGAGAAAAATGAAATTTAATTTTGAAATGTTTTCATGCAAAAATTTTAATTAACGTGCCAGTAAGTCATTTTTATCTGTAAGTTAGCACTTGTCCGTCTCTGGCTATTATGTATTATGCGCAGCATAGTTCTGCGCATAATGATTGTGTAATTTACAATACATAAATACATATGTGCGTTCTTGAAAACCCATTCTGAATTCCAATAGACACATTGAGTGATAAAGTAGATTCACAAATTATATCGTTTAACGGTGCTTTATACTAAATCATTATAATTAACAGCAATTCTAACCATCAGAACTCTGTAAGAGTTAATTTTTGGTATTAATTTGCGGTCCTAGGTTGAAACGATCCGACTGGATTATAAAGCCCAATAACAACATTCCTAAATCCATACTTCATTACGTACAATTGTAATCATGAAGATTTACAATAAAGTCATTGAACCTTAATTTTTTATAATTTTTGTAAGTTTTAAAGAACCTTTTAACCTAAAAATCTTGTTTATATGCACCATTTTTTTAAAGATTAAGTAAACAAAGAGGTGCTCATAAAAATTGATAAATACAAATGATTAAATTCATATGTTTAGACATGAATAAATATAAATGGCACGTATACATAAGTTCGACATGATCTTCTAAACTTTAATTACAATCAATGCTATTGTTCAAACAATGAAATTCTACAAATAGCGTTATAATGTACACAATTTCGGAGTAGCATATCCGACGTCAGATGATATAAAATTCTCACAATTCTTATGTGAGTTTACGGACCACAATAGATACTTAAGGTAAGCATTTTTAAATATTTATGAATATTTATGAGAATGTAATAATGCAAATATGCGTGTATTCGTGATAAATTATATGCTCTACATTTTTTACTCAATTTTAGACGAAATCTAAACCAATCAAAGGTGAAATTCAATAACAGAACTCATTATATTATAAAGCTGCTGAATCATAAATATTGCATAACAACTTAACTAGCACATCAAAGCACAAAATGCAACTTTTTATAAAAACATTAACTGGGAAAGTATTCACCATAGAAGCAGAGTCGAGCGATACAATTGACCAAGCTAAACAAAAAATACAAGATAAAGAAGGCATCCCCCCTGATCAACAACGTCTTATTTTTGCTGGCAAGCAATTAGAAGATGGGAGAACCTTATCAGATTATAATATTCAAAAAGAGTCTACGATGCATCTTGTGCTAAGACTACGTGGTGGAATGTTTCATGAAACCAGTGGTCGCACAGAATTTGATGAATTACCACCACTTCCTCAAGCTGAAGAACGTACACTTACTCAGCCAGAAGAACGTACACTTACTCAGCCAGAAGAACGTACACTTGCTCAGCCAGAAGAACGTACACTTGCTCAGCCAGAAGAACGTACACTTACTCAGCCAGAAGAACGTACACTTACTCAGCCAGAAGAACGTACACTTACTCAGCTAGAAGAACGTCAACAGGATCCTCCACAAGTTGAGATTCATAATGGTAATACCGTAATTACCAATATTTCTTATAATAATAATATATCAATTTTCAATTCTAATCGCATTTTTCCTTTTCACAGACAGAAATGACGGAGAGGATAATAGCACATGCTGTATCCCATTATTTAGCATGCTAAAACTTTTAAAACCTTGTAAAAAAAAGATCGCACCAGATAATATTCCCGAGCACTCTGTTACCGTTACTTTGAAGCTTCCAACTACAAAAGAAGAGTTATTAGCATTATTACGTGAGGAAGAACGACGAAGAATGTCACCCGAATTACAAGAATTATACCGCAAAGTTGGTAATGATCCTACATGTGGCAGAGACTGGATGGACGTCACTGATCAAATGCAATATGAATTGGTTCGAGAATTTGGATACTCTGATGAGGCTGTTCAACTAATGCGGCGTGCACCGCAACTTTATCCAGGTGACAATCATATCACCATTATCTTTATGTTATTATTATGTATTCAAACTTATTAACATTAGTTTTCATTGGTTTTACGTTCCCATACGTAAAGACGATCCTGAATTTCGTGACACTCAAGTATATGTCCGTAATAATATCGCAAACATTGGAAACCTTAAAGAAGAAATGGAAGCACCAGATTGTCCGCTTATTCCTTTAAAATATTTCGACACAACAATTCCAAATATTTCCATGGAAGCTTCGGAATTGACAGTTTCGAATATGTCTGTAGGAACAGCAGATGATACAGATTTATCAAATTCAATTTCTTTACGTTCACTTTGTCGATCAGGACGGCCTCTGGTTCTTCTCGCTGGATCGCTTACTTGTCCTTTATACCGATATATATCCCATGTACTTAATGATATATATGAACGTTATCGAACGAGTACAGATTTCTATATGATACAAATTAAGGAAGCTCATGCTAGTGACGTTTGGCCGATTGGCAATATTGTAGATGTTAAAGATCATAAAACATTAGATGATCGTTTAACTGCTGCAGAAGAAATGGTTAAAGCAACAGAATTAAAAATTCCAGTATTAGTAGATACAATGGATAATACTTTTTTAAAGTTATACTGCCCTTGGCCATTCCGATTTTTCATTGTTGTAGATGGTATTTTAAAACTTGTTGGGATGCCAAAAGAAGCTCGGTACGATACAACTGATTTAGTCGAGTGCTTAGAAACTCTTTTAAAACCATAAAAGTGGATATGATTATAACTGTAGAAACTATGAACATATTATAATCCATAAAGTCTATACTAGTTGTATTTTCGTTTACTATATTTTTTTATTATATTATTACTTTTTACGTATTTCATTACCGTTTTATATATTACTCTATCGTTTTGTATTTAAATAAAATTTGGAATCCATTTAAGTTGAATGTCATGCGATCATAATAGTAATATGAAATATATTTAAAGTGATTATATTGTTAGTGAATTGCACAAAATAAATCCATAAACTATATCATTTTAACGACGTCTTGTACTAAATCATTATAGTTAACAAAAAGTCCCAGCGTAACCACTAATCGAGGGCGCAGTCACATAATGTTCAAGCTGCTGCACTTCTTATTTAGTTTGTTTCACATTAGATTATCTGTATTAATAATTATCTGTCAAGAGCATTTCTAGATTACGCAAATTAGCATGGTACGGGGTGTGAAATACCCTATTTAAAGTTTGTACCGAACTGATCCAGTGTCATATATTATTAGAGGTAGCATAAAAATTATTATGGATTAGTTTAGTATAGTTTTAAAATTCTGGTTAGTATTCGAAATTTCAGGTCCGAATATGTTCTCAAAGTATAGTACAGATAACCAGAATCAGCATTCGAAATTAGTGCTCTGAGTTCTTATGAAAACACTTTTATAAATTTGTGAACAGTATAAATATTTTACTGTTCACTATTAAAAATTTTTCGAGAACAGTCGTAAGTATTTACTGTAAAAAATAGCTACATAATGTTGTCATACCAAACAAAAAACTGATGAATATAACTATCATAATTATAATAATCTAAAGTAAATTAATTTTAATATTACACTGTAATTTGCATTTTATAATACTTAAATACAACAATAGTTTATATTCAACTAATCAAATTATTTAATTTCTATATACATTTACAAATTTCATTATAGCGTCTCACATCAATATAGATATACTGAACTTAATTGTGCGTCCGATATTTTTTATGTATCTAAATATTACTTCACTAACAGTCACTTTGCCGACAGCTTATTTAACCGGCATTACACAACTAATTAAATGCTAAACCTAACCCTATGTGATGAACTTTCGATGAAATGACTGTCGGTGAAGTGAGCAGCACCGCTAAATATGATACTAGATATCCAGTATTTCTAAATCAGGCTTATATTCATCCGTTCCTGGTTTAGCGCGAGAATGTCGTGCAGCTACTTATCATTAAATCATTAAAAATTTATTGTAATACTCATTGACCAAATAGAATTGCTATCTCTAAACGTCTGCACCTTTAGTTATGGAAAATATCATAGAATAACCAGGACATCGATTGTATTACAATTCTGGTGCCAAATTCATTACCTTAAAATTTTAAAGTTTTACTTTCGGGTTTTTACTCTGCAGCATTTCATTATTAATCAAATTCTTTTAGGATGATTTTTTTTCTTAATCAATTTCTTACTCATATAGATTCAAAGATAAGTATAATAGGAGTTTCAAAAATAGCTTATTTCGAAAATAAGTGGTTTAAAAAAATCTTTATTTTTTTGAAATTCTGAAATCAATAAACTATACAAACATGTTAAAGTTCGCACATTTCTGCATTTGGAAATACATAAAACGTCAATTATTATTTTATCCGAAATTAGATGAAAATTTTAATTTTGAAATCAACAATATAGCAATTATCAGTTGAGCATCAAAATATTAATTAATTTCTCATCTGACTATTTATTATTTATTGATCTAAGTACTGTTAACATCTCATTTAGTTTATTCACATTAGATTATCTCTAATAATTAATAGTTATCTGTCAAGATCATTTCTAAATTACGCTGATGGTGGTGTGAAATACCTTATTTTAAAGTTTGTGCTAAACTGATCTGGCGCAATATAGTATAGCAAATTAGTATAGTATGTTTTTAAAATTCTGGTCGATGTTCGAAATTTCAGATCCGAATATGTTGTTATCATGAGAACAATGAAAATAGCTGTAGGTGTTCTCATAGTACAGATAATCAGAATCAGTGTTCGTTTTCAGAATTCTTATGAAAACACTATTGTAAATTTGTGCATAGTATAACATTTTAAAGTTTACTATTAAAATTTTTTGAGAGCAACAATGTTCTCATAACTAACTACATAACGTTGTCATAAAACTGATGAATATAGCAATCATTTTGTAATAATCTTAGGTAAATTAGGAAAGATTTGGGGTTTTTGCCTTGAAAATCTCGTTATGGAACATATGATTTACTATGTCCCATAACGTGATTTTCAAGGCAAAGACCCATTTATTTAATCTTAATAATTTGTAATATGTTCTTCGTATTCTTTGTTATTTATATAGTTGTCAACAATTTTTTAAAGATTCGAAGTGAAAAAATGAAAGCCAACTTTAATACTACGCTGTAATTAGTATAATTTATAATACTTAATACAACAATAGTTTATTAAACCAATTAAAATTATTTAAAATTTTCATCGTAAAGTATTACAGCGTCTCATATTAATATAGATATACTATACATCTGATATTTTTTTATGTATTTAAATATTGGATCCGTCTTACTAGTCATCTTACCGACAACTCATTTAGCCGACATCACACAACAAATCAAATGCTAACTCTAACCCATGTGATGGACTTTCGGTGAAATGGCTGTGGCAACACCGCTAAATACGATACAGCGATGTTTGTTTACATAAAAAAGAGGTGTTAAAAGTAATGTTATTATATAGAGATTTTTAATAAATATATTGCCAATAATTTTTCAAAAAAAAATGGTGGTGTGATTATATAGGAGGTGACTATAGAGGAGGATGACTGTACTAGATCAGTGTTGTTGCTAGACCGATCACCAGAACTGGAAGGATTACTAGAACTAACTGGAAGATACTGTATTTAGGTTCCAGTGGTAAGTTGTCATTGACACTTCCAGCCATATTTTTTTTACCACTGGATGGACGTTCCAGTGAGGTGCATTGAGGGCCAGTGAAATTTAATAAGTTAAATAAAAAAGCATAAAGATGATAAAAACCCGGTTTTTTTTTTATGTAATACGATACAGATTGTCACGCGTGAAGTTATTTTTGATATCATATACATAATCTATTTAAACTGTAATAGTGCAACCCTGTAACCAAAAAATCAGACCGAAAATATTATGCAAACTAAGAATTTGTTAAGATTCAATATCAATTAATGATCATATATTTAACTTTTTTATGAGATATAATTCTATGTACAAGCCCAATTTAGTGATTCATAGTCTCAAAAATCACAGTACTAGCCCTTAAATTGATACCCATACTTTAAACTAATGTCATAGTGACGATAAGTATCCCTGTTAGTAAAGTTGGTTTTCTGATTATCTTAAAATAAAAAAAGATTGTTTTTAAATCTCTTAAACTTCCTAAATTGGTTAAATTATCCTAAATTGGCCTTTATACGAAAGCAAAATTATTGACGTAAATGCACCGTTTGCAGATCTACAACGTAGTTTATTATATTCGTGACTAAATTGGTAATTTATAGTTATTGGCATGGGTATGTAGTGAATAACCCAGTTACACACGGGTTCATATTCCGTGCCTTCGGCACGGATTTAAATATGAACTCGTGTGTGTAACTGGGTTATTCAACATACCCATACAATAACTATCTTATTGACGGTGTCTGACGTAGCAATCCCATGCCAATAAAAGCATGGGTTGTCACATACAGTGTTGGAACATGACTGGATGTGACCTAAATGGCCAAGTGACCAAGTCATATCCAAATCATCAAAATATAATAAAAGTGTTATGACATAACCAGTCATAACAGGTCATGACACCTAGTTAAAGTAGTGACCATGGTCATTATGACTTACTAATTGTGATATGACCTGTTATGACCGTCATATTCCAACACTGGTCACATAAGACCCTTACAATAACTATAAATTATTTGCATAATGCCTTATCTTAGTATTCATATATGCTTATCGGTATATGGACGTATACAGATTATATCCATAATTTTGTATTAATCATTTAACAGTCATTTAACCCAGCTAGGCTATATAGAGAATCCATATTAAGTAAAAACAGTTAACAAATTCATAAAATAAGATAACGATAATGATAAATACAGAAATACGTAAATGTTACTGTCGGTTATTTACGATACTTATGAGTTATATAGAACTGATTTAACAACTGAACAGTAAATTAGAAATGCTAACTCTACAGCACCGATCATAAACGCCTGTAGATCACCAACAAAACATTAATCAATAAATCTCCTCCCTAACGTGACATAACCCTAACCTTAAAGATTTCATTACACCTGATCTTTCGATCTAATTTGATAAAATAATGAGGGTTTTTTTGTGGGAGGGTACCAACTATCTGATCATACAAAATATCATGTGAAAGCATAACCAATCAAAAGAACGTATTTGCGCACTTCACTCCTTAGGTAACCATGCACTTCCTGGTAGATCTTTAGGTCTTCCATAAGTGCACGATTTCGGATAAATATTTATACATTTACATTCATACTAACAGATCTTGAATGAGTGTTAATACCCTTTTCAGTAAAAGATCTGGGTATTATAATCAGATGATTAAACACAAGCCTGTGCATAATTTCCTATTAACCCCATAGTATAGTACCCGGGTATTTTATAATACCGTTATTTACTCCATAAATATGGACAACCACTTGAATATCTAATTACATCCACACGTGAAAACATGATAGCCTTATAGAATAACGTAGTTAGTTAGAAGTCACATTGTTAAAACGCGTATATATATGCTTGTGTTTTAATCATGTAAAAATTTGCCTACTCCTACGATAAATAAATTTTATAAAACCCTCTTAAGACTTAAACATTTGAGTTGCCGCTTCTCACAATGCCTGGAACTCGTTTTTTTGAACAACAAGATGGAACAAAAATTGCATACCAAATTTTTAATTCTGAAAATGCTAAAAGTGAGGTTCCTCTTGTATTAATCTCGGGAATGTAAATATTGCCATTTCATAATATTTTATATTTGACTTTTCTTTTCATTCTATTAATTTAATCGTAATCTGTAACTTAAATTAAGGTCTTATCTTAAAGAGTTTTATCATGGCTTTGAAAAAGGTTAGACATTTATTATCATTATTAATATTGTTATTCAATACGTATATTCATTATAATATATGATTAATTAAATCATTTTTAATCATTAGAATTAGCAAAAAAACAACAAGGTTCGTTAATATTGTTGAAAATATGCTAGTTTATTTATATACTCTGTATACAGACTTCCCCAGCATCGAATGAATAATGGCTCTATCACATGATATTCGAAATTCTTTGAAGGCCGTTTTATTAGGGTTAAGGCCTATGTTAAGCTTAGAGTTAGAGGAGTTTTAATTGTAAAATCTCTCAAGGGAAACTTTTTTGTTGATGCATAGAAGGTGAAATAAACACCAAATCGTAGATCATTATTGGCTAATTGACTATCGATCATCATGTGATAGCTGCATTATTCAGGCGACACTCATTTACTCAAAATTTAAATGCCCTGGTCATTAGTTCACTTACATGAAGTAATTATATTGGTCTGATAGCTAATATAAAGTTATTAAATATATACAAAGTCAAAATTTTACTAGGTTAATAAATATTTATACCTTCAACTTAAGATCGATTAAAATATCGATTAACTTAGTAAATTTCGCCTTTTTATATTTAGTTATGATTATTGATAATATTTTAAAAAAGTACTTTATTAGTATGTCTTAATTGGTTAAAAGGCGTTAACAAATGTTAAATGACCTTCTATGGTCATTTGAATGTGAAATGACCCAATACCGGCCACTAGTCATTTGGATCATTTCAAGTCATTTCAAGTCATTTACCATCCCTGTTGTATACTCAACTACATTAATCATAGTAATTAATGACGTCCTCAAAGCCATTGCTGAAATCGAAAATCGTAAAGCGTAAACTTTAATACTGTACCGTATTATGACTTACAGCCACCCACAAGAGTAATATCCTGATTTTTCTATATATCAAGTAAAGAAAACAGAACCATTTATGCGGGTGATTGTACATGTCTGTAATAAGGTTTCAGATATCTTATAATTATCGCATTTGGTGGTTAACATAGTTGCATAATATTGTGCACGATCAAGGTTTACAGTTTAATGTTTTACGATTTTATAGATTTTGCACGCTATAGATAATTTATTGTATTAAATACATACCAGCATAGAATGTTATAACTTATTAATTATGATAAGAAACATAAAATATTCAAATTAAATCAAACCCATTTTATTAGTAATTGTGTTTGATAATCGTGGAATTGGAGAATCAACCGTTGCTTCTTATAATGATCCTCTCACGGTCGAGTTAATGGCTCAAGATACAATTGCGTTGCTTAAACATCTTGGAATTAAAAGATTTAATTTGTTTGGAACAAATATGGGTGGTAAGATTCAGAATTTTAAATATTTAATATTCTTTCAATGATTTTTACTTTTTGTATGTAAAAATTTTATAGCTAGAATTGCTTTTGAAACTGCCTTGAAGCTTCCATCTGATTTGAAGTTAGAGAAAATAGCTGTTAGTTCTTGGTATATATTTTATTTGATTAATTTACAGTATAATCTATACTTAAGTTAACTTTATCTTTTTTATTGAAGTGCTCCTAAAATTGACTTAAATTCAGGAGGGAGTCAGAAAATCAATAAAATTCATGAATTGTCAAGCACTCCTTTTCCTAATGATATTCAGGGACAAAAAGATAGACTTCTTGAAGGTGAATTTGATCAAGATTTATCTAAATATCTACTTGAACATCCCGATGATCTTGATAAAATGGCAGAGATCATTATTAGCAGATACGATGCCAGACCGTTTGAAATGATGAGTATGTATACTTACATGTGTTTTTAAATTTATCAATATTAAAGCTTTATCTAATTTTACTATATTTGTAGAACGTCAGTGGGAGGCAAATACAACTTATGAACTGCTTCCAAAACTAAAAGAAATTAAAGTTCCAACTTTGGTAATTCATGCAGAAAATGATCTATTCTTTTCCAACAAGGAAGCTGAATTACTTAGTAAAGAGCTTTCTAATTCAAAACTTTATAATATTCCTAACATGGGAAATAAGTAAATATCATTTTAAAATAATTTTGTTTGTAAATAATATTGAAAATATTCTAACTTTTTCAAAAAATTTTAGTATTTTTGTAAAAGATCGTGAAACTACTGCCAATGTCATTAGTGAATTTTTGAATAATTAAATTTTAATTAGCAATTGCTCCTCATCACTTGTGGATGTAAGAAAAAATATATTGGCCAGTTGAATAAATAAAAAGATTTATAATAATTATGTATTTGAAACAAATCTTCATGATACAAATCATAAAAAATTGTGCGCTTTATTGTCAATCATGATGAATCAAATAAATGAACATGAATAAAATAAGTTATCCGGCAAACTCATATGATCATGAAAAAATTTCTTCTTGTTATTTTTTTTCATGTGTTACTATGTAATTATGT